CCAGAGTCAAGGCAGAAGGATGTTCTACACCTGTTTCGTCGATCCCTGTGATTTCCGCACTCCGTCCGACGGTGCACCCCAAAGGACAGTGTGCGACTTGTCCCATCTCCAAGGTGAGCGATAGTCGAGTGCGCCTGGGTCCTTTGCACGAGGATCGAGGCAAAAGTTTTTTTTTTTCTGATCGAAGATGCTTGGCGTCCGCTGACTGACCCCGAGCCGATTCGTTCGAGCTGAGGGTCGCACAGCCGCTTCGTAACAATTTAAGGCCTTCTCATTAAATGGGAGAAACTTCCAATTTCTACCGCCTGGGGGTGTTTATCCAAACATCCAAGAGCCTGTTGAGATCCGTGCTCGCCAAATCGTATGTTCTCAGACACGTACTCTTAAGAATTGCTAATTAAAGCGGCAATCCCCTGAAAGAAACTGTATTTCATCTGACGATGATGAACGTTATACCAGCGGGAGTCATGTCAACGACACGATAGCTGTTACTCCGTCATACTGATCGATGAGTTTACTATCGGCTCGGGGGTATGAACGAGTCTCGGAAGAGATATGGCCCTGAGAAACCAATCCCATACCCTCGTGGCTCCGGAACTAATCAGTAGCGCATATTATCACGAGCCAGTTGCCCCAAGACCACTGCACGCAGATGGTTCTCGCATATCGATAGGATTCCAATGGAAATGACTAAGTCCAAACCAAAGCGTCTCTGTAAAAAGAGAATCGGTGTTCAAGGTGGACGAACTCACCGGCAAGTCACATATATATGACTGATGAAGGAAAGTCGATTCGACGTTCTCGCTCTGGCCGACCCTCTCGTATCGCACACGTCTAACCAGTCGGTGCTGCACTCTTCGTCCGGTTTGCGATCAGGAACATTAGACAAAGGGATTATCAGATGAATTGCAGAGAGGTTATCCTCGGATGATGAAGCCATTCGGACGGCTAACTCGGGCAATCGCTTCTGATAATGAGGTATCAGTCCGGGACAATCCCGTGAAGTGTTCATGATAATACCGGCGCCAATCGCCAAAATCTTGAGGATCTCTAACCAAACAGACAAGAGGCCATTTTCAAGATGAATGGAATGGCTATGGGATACGGATAAGGGAAGAGGCATGACGCAGCCAATTCGGGCTCCTATCCAATCAGTTCGGGGTGAATCTAGCACATAGCAACCCGTTACTGCATCAAGCAGGCAGCGATTCGATGTGGATCACGTCTGCAATGCTTGATGACAACGTCGCAAATGCTCATACGGCCTCTCGTGACCAAAACACTGGGGGTGGCCTCACTAAAGATAACAAACATTGGGGGTTTGCCACGGAATATGACAATGTCGGGGTTGCCATGTTTAATTTCTCTTTCAAATCGTCCGAAGTCCGACACTAGTGATGATGAAAAAATGAAAGATCTCGAGAGTAAGAATCACGCTCTAAATGTTTGATCGAGAGGTAAAATGAGGAACTGGCATTCCATGTCATATCCAAGAGAGTGTTGGACTCATAGCGTATCCGGCGAAAAGTTCAACATTGATTAACTTCACGCCATTTGATGGGGGAATGGTTCACCCACTCAACACCTGATTACTTCATATGTCTCACTTGGTATGATCTCGGTAAATGAGGCTTGATGTTCGGTGCCTTATTCGTTTGGCACCTCTTACGCGGGCCGCCTTCGTATTTGTACCCGCCGTCTCAAAGCCCGGAAGTATTAACAACTGGGACGATATGGAGAACTCATTCCTTGGTAACTTCTTTGATGACTTGACGATGAATGTATCCATCAGGACACTTTTCGAGAGCAAGAAGAATGACGAGACAGTCGATCGACTTTGCATCAAGCGCTTTCGTGAATAAGCAATGAACTGGGCCGAGATCCGATCACGGGGACATTCATCCTCCAGACAGTGTCATAACAACTATCTATTGAGATATTAGAAGTTATGGGGAGTCGGAGCCTCCAACACTGGAAAGGTTGAGAAGCCCGCGCGGAAGAGCGGCCGAACGCTTCCATCCGAAGGAAAAAGCCTGAGAGGAGCGAACGACGGCGAATCTTCCAAACTTACAAACCTTTGCCTCACCGTGGTAATAAGAAAAGGCCAGTTGCGCGGTTTTTTGTTGTAGTACGTTAATCAGAGCATCACAACACGCCCAGAAGGCAGCAAAAGACTTCGATCCGAGACCATCCAAAAAGGAGTACTCTTTCAAGGACGAAGATGTTCCAAGCTATTTTGAGTCGCCTCGCTTGAAAAATAAAAGATCAAGCTAACCGACCTATCCCAGATCCAGGAGGAAGCTGATAATACTGCGGATCCAAAGTTACGGCGGCGTACCACAGGAGGATCTTCATCTACAAGCTTGTTATCGCTCTTAAGAATACATCCAAACCTTGTTGAAGCCGGCGTTATATCGCTCATTGAGACGAATGAACCACTCCGACAAGTCTAAGAGTATAAACTGCTTCTTAATCTCCGGACCGTGTAGAGAGGTTTAAACTGCTCCCCTGACACTCCATAGGTATATGAGTCTAAACTGTTCCTAGCCGTTGATGGATGTTTCCTGGAGAATTTAGCACTAATATTCTTAAGGATAACCGGTCATGTACGGAGTACAAAGTCAACCCAGTTCTAAGAAGGAAGCTGGGGGTGGATGATGTCAATGTAATGGGAAGGTTCCCAAGAAGAATGCTATATGTAATTTTCTTATGGGATAACCCGATATATTAGAACAAGGTGATAAACACTAAACCCCACTATGATTTGTACTCCCACTCTATACTGTCTAGCATGGTCAAACCTTCCTATAGTTAGGACCACAACCAAAGTCCCTCTCTCGATTCGCTTCCATGAACGAGATCTGTCCACTTCAAATTGAACGATCCAAAGCCTGTAAAAGGTAAGATCATCTCAAACCTCCCACTTTCACTGCTTCCTTGTCAAGACCTATAAAAGTTAGGCCACAACCAGATCTCCTCTCGATTCCTTTCATGAAGCGAGAGGTCCACTTTGCAATTGAGCAATCAAACCTATTAAAAGTTAGGATTGTCTCCAACTTTACTTAGTCAACCTGGCAGATAGTTAGGACTAAGATTGAGTTTATCGCTTTTCGATTAAGCGAAAGACTTCATCTTTTCTTTTCCCAAACCTATAATACGTAGGTCGAATTGGGCTTTCTCCTCAATAAATGAGGGGACTCTTTTTTGATGAGATGACCAATCCTATAAAAGTTAGGGTCGTTTGAATCTTTCCGATTCTCGGAGTGGAGATCGCAACTCTAGTTTTCATCATTTCGATTCTGAGGGTGGAGATCTCCACCTTGAGTTTCCTTTCCACCTGGAGATTGAATATAAACATTCTTCTCTTCAGTGTCGGAGATAGAATATAAAATTCTTCCTCTTGTCCATTTTTCAGTCTGTCTACCCTGAAAATAAGACACAATTCCCAACTTTTCCAATTCTGTGCACTTTGTGGCACGGGGAATTTATGCTCACTCCTAAATAAGAATAAGCCTACGCCTAACCGTTGCCGGTTTAGTTCTTTCACCGATGAAAAAGACAACAGAATCCAGTCTGGGGCATTTTAATCCGAAGCTCTAAGTAGGGAATAAGTCAAACGCTTAACCCGGTTGCTGGGTGTTCGTTCCGCTGGTAAAAATGAACCGAGTCTACGTATTCAGCACTCGTAGCAACAAAAATCGGCATGGCGTTGATGCATTCGGGAATTTTTATCTCGAATCCTAAAGCAGTTGATAAGTCAACGCCTAACACGCGTTGCCGTAGTCCTTTTGCCGGTGAAAAGGACAAAGCCCACACATTCGGATATTGTGGCAAGTCGTTATTCATAACGTCCAAATCGTGCTTCACATCACAGCGCGGGAATTTAATTCGCGCGAAGCCTAGTATGGGATACAGTCAGACGCTTAACCGCGCGTTGGCTGGTGGTCGTTCCACGTAAAATGACCGAGTCTAACGTATTCAGGGCATCGTAGCAACAAAACTCCATGCCTTTTATGGCATGGGGATTTTATCCGAATCTAAGGCAGGGATAAGTCAAGCGCCTAACACGCGTTGGCGTTTAGTCTTTTGCGTGAATAAGGACAAAGGCCCACATATTCGATTATTGTTGGCAATCGTTATTTCATAACGTCAAAATCGTGCTTCACAGCGCGGGGAAATTTATCCCGAACCTTAAGAAGGGATAAGGCAACGCGTAACTCGCGTTGCCGGTTTAGTCTTCACTGCAATTGAAAAAGACACCAGAATCTAGTCTGGGGCATTTTATACCCAAAGCCTATAGAAGGGATAAGTCAGCGCCTACGACGCGTGTGTCGGTAGGCCTATTCCGTAACAATGGCGAGTCTACGTATTCAATATCGGTAGCATCAAGTCTAAGGGAGTTCATTCCTCTAGACAACGTCACGTGCGAACGGACCTTAAACAACCACATGCAAGACCGATTCAACGGTAATCGGTAAAGGTACGCCAAATCCGTTGAAGCTCGAGGTTTTGGCCAAAAACCTTAAAGTCTACGTCTGATACATCGTCGTGTTTAGTCTTTTCACAGGAGAAAGAGACGAAAGTTCTACGTATTCAACTATCGTAGCATCTAAAAGAGTAACTCTTTTAGCATAACGTTACATGCGGAACGGACCTAAATAATCCGCATGCAGACCCCGACTCAGAACGGTAGTCGTAAAGGCTTATGCAAAGCCCGTTGATGGCTGAGAATTTGCAAAATTCTATGAATGCAAAGTTATTGACGTATTCAGCTTCATTAGTTGGTCTCACTGACTTGAAATGTTCGTCGTCTTCTCTCTGTCTCGAGCTGTGTGTGGATACCTATAGGCATTTTTAGACGCCTACAATGATGACTAGAAAAAGACAAATAGAAAAGAAAATATTTGCATTCAATAGCCAAAATTTCCTGTATTGTAACTTTTGCAGCACCAGTGAGAATTCAGCATAACAAATTATTTGTCTCTTGTTATTATTTTCAGTACCAAACTTTCACAAATGCGTCCGAGGCAAAGGAATACGTCAAGGATCAAGGAGCACCAATAGTAGTCAAAGCTGATGGATTGGCTGCTGGCAAAGGAGTCATTATTGCCATGACTTTAGAAGAGGCATATGAAGCCATAGACTCTATGCTGGTCAATGATGCTTTTGGCTCTGCTGGTTCAAGAGTCGTCGTTGAAGAATTTCTTGAGGGTGAAGAAGCCTCTTTCTTTGCTCTGGTTGATGGGGAAAATGCCTTGCCTCTTGAATCAGCACAAGATCATAAACGAGTAGGTGACGGTGATACTGGACCAAATACAGGTGGAATGGGTGCATACTCACCAGCTCCTGTACTAACAAGAGAGCTCCAATCTGTGGTTATGGAGTCAATAATACTTCCAACTGTTAAGGGAATGGCAGCAGAAGGCTGTAAATTTGTTGGTGTATTATATGCTGGTCTTATGATTGAGAAGAAATCGGGTCTACCGAAGCTTATCGAGTATAATGTGCGCTTTGGAGATCCAGAATGCCAAGTATATTACTCAAACACACCAGTTTATCTTTTATTATTTGCACTACTTTGCTACAGCCTACAGTCTAAGGATTAGGTGTGCATTTGATAATGATAAGCTTTTAACGAATATGACATAAACCTAAGATATTCCGGCATTTTGGTAATATGGTGATCATCGAGACTATCTTTTACATTTCTAGTATCTTGCTTTAACCGATATAAACTTTTATGCTTCTGTTGAAATAATTAGCTTCTGGGCAATATTTAGTAACGCACCTCATTGTCAGCATATTTAAGAAAATACCTTCTATCTATGTGATGTCTATTTTGTCTATAACCAGTTAAACATGCATATGTATATTTGATGGTCATGCTGAACTCTCCTTTTAATTGTATGATGGGTCGGTTAGTTTTAATGCCATAATCTTCTTTAGCACTAAACTACAGACCCGAAATTGCTTGCTCTAGTACCTTTACTGAAACAACCTGAAAAGTGAATTGGAGATAATTTGAGCCATTCTTTTATGATTACTTGAAGATAAAAGAGAATCTATTTTCTCCTTCATCCTATTTTCTTGTCTTTTTTTCTTTCTTGACTTCATTTTTGATCGAAGGTTTTTGAGTTTGTCTGAACATTCTTGCTTCCGAACCTTGAATACTTCCTTAATAGATAGCATCTTTCACGTTTTCTAGTACTGTGCTAATAAGAATTCTACTCCTATCAAAAAACAATGCAGGTATTGATGATGAGGCTTGAATCTGATCTAGCCCGAGTTCTACTTGCAGCTTGTAAAGGAGAACTAAACAATGTAACTCTACAGTGGTCACCTGGATCAGCCATGGTGGTTGTCATGGCAAGTAAAGGTTATCCAGGAGCCTACGAAAAGGGTTCTGTAATAAGAAATCTTGAAGAGGCTGAGCTCGTCTCTCCAATGGTAAAAATATTTCACGCAGGAACTGCATTTGACTCTAACAGTAATTTTATTGCAACCGGAGGCCGAGTACTTGGCATTACAGCAAAGGGGAAAGATATAGATGAAGCAAGAGACTTAGCTTATGATGCAATTGATGTTATTGACTGGCCTGAAGGATTCTTTAGGCGCGATATTGGATGGAGAGCTCTTCGTCATAAAGAAGTTGCCCATCATCGGTAAATCAGTCCTTTGTGGAAAATGTCCTTTGTGGAAAATGTGAAATTATGTTTTATAGCGTAAAAAAGGGTGAGAGCAATTTTCACAGCATAATGTAGCTGCTGAGAGAGAGCAGAGAATAGAAATAAGTATGGAATCTTTGGTTGATAGCTGATAATGAAGAAATACACACTGTGCTGAAAGCTTTACTTGATATAGCAGTTCATTGATAGTTCTTGTGACCCTCTGTACGTACTTGTTGCTATTTATTAACCCTTCATGTGATTTTTATATTGAATGTAAGAGCTTTTTTATGGGGCTTATGCTGCTGTGGTTTTTACATATGGCAGTTGCTGCTAATGTTAACCAGGTCAGAGTGAAAGAACCTGCAATGTTAAATTCTGATGCATGGTTTGCAAATGTAAACTTTTTTTGGGTTGCAATTTGCAAGATAGTAAATCTGTGGTCCTTGAGTATTAATTGGAAGAGAAGAAAGAATACAGATACTTCTTGGTTAAAGATTTTAGGTTCATGTATGTATTGCAATTGGCCTAGTGGTGTTCTACCTTATCCTTTATTGCATGAGTGACTTGTGTTGCAAAAAGCAGTACTTGACAATTTGCAATGGCTACTGATTCTCTGTAGCTTTCTAGGATATTGTTAGTAATTTTGCTGAAGGGAGATAAACTGGTTTCTTTCTAAACTAGTTTAATAGTAAAGTAGGTTCGGAGGTGGATAAAAAAAGAACTAGCTTAAGAGCAAGTGCAGCAATCTCCTAGTATGAAGCTCTTGTTGGAGTGCTCTCAAGCATGGGGCCCACTTAGGAGCTTCCTACTAGGAGAAATATTCTAAGAATAATTTCTCTACAGTGAGCGATTTTTCTGTTCTCATAAAGAGTTGCCGGAAAAAGTGAAGAGGCAACTAGAGTATAATGATTCGGCGGGGATACCACCATGTAAGACATTTCACGCTTGCGTTGTGGAAGATGGAGGATATGAAAATGTTTCATATGGTGAGAAAGAATGTAGAAACCATCTTGAAAAATATCGAAGGTTGGCTCTTGGTGAAGGAGATGCACAAGCTTTGTATCGATACTTTAGTCACATGCAAGCTCAAAGTCCAAACTTTTTCTACGCAATGAATGCGGATGAGGAGGGAAGGTTAAGGAATGTCTTTTGGGCTGACAGCAGATCCAGAGCAGCATATGAATATTTCGGCGATGTAATTTCTTTTGACACCACTTACTTAACGAACATATATAGTATGCCTTTTGCTCCTTTTGTGGGAGTAAACCATCATAATCAGTCTATTTTATTGGGTTGTGCATTGCTTTCTAGAGAAAATACAGAGACATTTATTTGGTTGTTTCAAACATTGGTTATCATGTATGTCAGGAATTCCTCCCAAGGCTATAATTACCGACCAATGCAAAGCAATGAAAGGAGCAATTGCCGAGGTATTTCCAGAGGCTCATCATAGACTATGCCTATGGCATAAGCTTCCTGTAAAGCTATGTGGATATAAAGAATACAAAGAAAATAAAAGGAGTTTGAAGAACATAGTGTATATCAAAGCTGTTAAAGAGAAGATTTGAGCTTTCTAGCTTTCTTGGTTTTGTACAGGAGTGTGATTTTTTTTTTTTCAAAACAGAGCTGGTGCAGTCATTTTTTAGTGATTTTAGGAATTTCTGATTGTAACCAGTAGATGTCAGCTATTAATTTCATGGTACGAGAAATTATTATCATTGAGATAGGTAGCAGGAAACAAAAAGAAGTTTGCAGTTTGGGTTTTAGACAGTAATTCAATAATGCTTATGAGTGGGAATTTACATGTTCTGTTGTGAGAAAGAAAACCAATATTATCTCACAATAGGCTGCTCTAAAAAGTCCAGAGCATGTTGACGCACCAACAGGCAAATCAATGTTTAGTGATTATAGTGTGGCTCTGCATGATCCGAATTCTGTTGAAACTGCAAACTTCAGGCTGAGCAAACCTGCTAAAAATGCTCCGTCCACAGGATTTTCAAGTCCAGTACTTAGTCCACGAAGAAGTAATATAGAGCACGACCATACTTACAATTTCCCTCTACAGTGAGCGATCAGTTCCATTAACCCAGCTATTAAGAAATCTCAACAGAAGCGTATATGCAAGCAATATAGGTCGGCATATTTTCGCTACAAATGCACCAGACAGAACATTTTCACAAAAAATAAGACATTCTTTTACAAGAATATAAGCCAAGCAATGTCTCACAAATTCCTTCAACTTTAACAAGACAACAACAACAACCAAGTTTCAGCACTAAATTCATATTCATATCATGTCACATAGACGAAATTTTACAATTTTTGTACCATAAAAAAGACCAGAAATATGGAAGTTTGAGTCCCAAGAGGAGGACCCATAATAGGTCTAAATGAGCATGTCCTGAGAGGGGGAGGAAGTCGGTGATAGCATAAACTTGGAGCACAAAATGTTTTCGGTGACGACGAGAACATGACGTCGATGACAAACTTCAGCAACGATGGGATCTTTTTAATTTCTCTCAAAATGGAAGGATCAGTACAAGTCCCCTCATTCTTCCTCTGCCCAATCTCCCTCCAAATCATTAGGGACCCCGTCATCCTCTCCACCAGCATCACCTACGACCGCCAGAACTTCGAGCACTGAGTCTTCACCCTGAAGCACGACACATGCCCCCTCACCAGGCAGCCCCTCGACCCCGACCTCATCACCCCCAATGTCACCCTCCACCGCCTCATTTAGGCCTCAACTCCTCCTCCTCCTCTGAGGGCATCGAGCACGTCGCTGACCTCATCGAGGGCACCGCGTCGAGCCCGACGACATGAGAATGATCTCTTTCTCATGTCCACCGTCGCCGACCTCATCACCCCCGCCCCCTCACCCAGGCCCACCGTCGCCGACCTCATCGAGGGTTTGCAAGAGGAGCTTTGGGTTTGGGGGAAATCTAATTTTGCTGTGTTTATTATTTGACAGGAGAGATGATTCACAGAATTACCAAAGTACCCTTTCATATATCCAACTCACTATTTTACAATTAATTAATATTTTCCAGCTGTATTCGCCACGTCATCCGTCCCATGAATCTGTCCCATTTTTGGGTCTTGCTAGCAACACTCATATTCTAACAAACTCCAAATTAGGAGCTTAAATATTATTTAAAAAAATACATTCTTCTACCTCTAAATTTTATAAATATATTTTAAAACAATAAATCTAATAAAAAAAAATACTTTTTAGTGGGCCCCCATTCCTTAGGACCTCACAAGTGCTCCACAAGGAGTTCCATGGTGAACCCCACCGCCAACTAGGACTTGGGAGCTTCCTTGGGAGCTTGTTAGAGCATGCTGGGAGCTTTTCCTTACCACATCGCCCTTGGGAGCCTCCCTGGGAGGCTGCTGCACTTGCTCTAAGGCCAGAGTTTAGCCTAGCAAAACTAGTTCAAGTATTGGCTAAAGTTTCGCGAAACTACTTGTTTAGTGAGTTTACTAGACAATGCCTTAAGATAATGGGTACCCAGAGATAGCTTAGCGGAGAAATACGTGCTAGAGATACATGCTCCTAGTCACATCAGAACAAGTTGATCTTGCTATTTTACTGCTTTATAGCTTGATAGAGCGTTTTGCAAAGTACATTAGCCTCTGATATATGCGATATTTCTTTTTCCAAAATCGCGATTGTCTAATTATGCTTAAAAGTTTTATTATTTTATTTAAAATATAATAAAAAAATATACGCATGCATAATCTTTTATTTTTTCTTTTTCCGAAATCACAATTGTCTAATAATATTTAAATGGTTATTATTTAGGGCTTTTTGTTTTTAGGTCCATTTGATTACCTAGCTTTATTTTTAAACCCAAAAATTATTAGGTGTATCTTTAAACCCAACTTTCTTTTTGTATCTATCTTTAAACCCAATTCCAAAATATAATACTCTCATATGTGGGTCCCCCTATATAAGAAAATTGCGTTTAAAGATAAATTCAAAAAGAAAGTTGGGTTTAAAGATACAACTAATAATACTTGGGTTTAAAAATAAAGCCAGGTAAATAAATGGACCTAAAAACAAAAAGCCCTATTATTTATTTGAAATATAATAAAATATTATACACACGGATAATCTTTCAGGAAGATGAAGAGGAGAACAAATAACTTCAAGGTAGTCATTTGCCATTTATAGAAAAGAACAAATTTTTACTTCAGCCCCATTTTTATTTTTTTTAATTTAAATCGACCCTTTTTTTATTTACCAAAACCGATCCGATTTTTTGATTAGCAGCTTAATTATCTTTCTAAACAGTCGGGATTGGCAATCCCGACTATTTAGGACATTAATTTTTAGGGTTTAAGGCTTCTAATTAGGGTTTAACACCCTCCTAAATAGTCGGAGTTGCCAACCCCGACTGTTTAGGATGGTGATTAGGCTGCTAATCAAAAAATCGGGTCAGTTTTGGTAAATAAAAGATCGATTTAAATTAAAATGGGGCTGAAGTGAAAAATTGTTCTTATAGAAAAAGAACCCGCTTCCATTCTATTGAGAGTTTTTTTTTTCTCTTCAGAAAGTTACAGTTATTTTCCAATCACAATACACATCCATCAGTAAAAGTTCAATCTTCAGGGGCGCTTTGTGAGGCACCCCAGATCTCAGGGGTTATGTGTAAAAACTCCCCAAAGCTAAAATTTTTAATTGAGGGTGGCTTTTATCCTAGGAAAATGATAGGGGCATACCCCCAACCGGGTCCAACTATTCACACTCCTAAACAGTAACTTTGGGGGTGTGTGAGGACTAAATTGCCCTTCTCCCTTATCTTCTTTATTTCTTCCTCATTTTATATTACAATTATTATTAATGTTGTTAGTAGTACTTATTAGTAGATTTATAAAATTGTTTCATTAGTATTTGTTATTTTGTAATTCGGATTTAATTATGTTAATTTCGTTTTTTATAATTAAATAATAGTGTTAGTTTGTTATTTCGGGCTTAAAATTATAGTCTTATTTTGTTAATTCGTATTTAAAGTTAATTCGGATATTAATTATAAAATAATATTGTTATTTTATGTTAATTCGGATTTAATTATGTTAAATTGTAGAATTATGTTAATTTGTATTTAATAAATTCGTTTTAAATATGAAAATGTTAACTATAACTTAACAGAAATGTTATTATTATGATTATAAATGTTATAGTATTATAGTGTTATGTTAATTTAGAGTTAACATAAGTAGTTTTAAATAATACAATTTATTAGTTAAAGGTTATTATTGTAAATCCGAATTTAATTAATAATTAATTTCTTTAATATAATTTTTCGGATGAAGTTAATTCGGACTTAATTAAAAGTAATTAGTAGTTAGTATTATTATTGTTGTCAGTGTTATAGTATTTAATTAGGAGTTATTAATTTCTTGGAGTCAGGTAGCAACAAAAGGGCATTTTCGGCAATCCAACTCCCAAAATTACTGTTTAGGAGTGGATATAGCAAACGTGCCCCCAATCACACCTCCAACCACACGCAATCTCTCATTTGCTATAGTACACCGGGCCCCACATGTGATTTAAAATCACATGTGGGGGCCGATGCACTGTAGCAAATGAGAGAGGGGGTGTGATTGGAGGTGTGGTTGAGGGTGTGCACCTAATGCCACCCTTTATCCTACTCGCTAATTTGATATATCCTGTACTGTAGAGAGAGGGAGTGTGATTAGTGGTGTACCTTAGAGTGTGGCTCTATCATTTCTTTTTGCTGTAAAAAATGGAGGGAATATAGTCATCCACTTGCGTACTTTTTTACCTGCTCACTTAAGCATCCGTACCTTGATAGCTGTTTCCTCTTTTTTTACAAAAAAATGAGATGATAATACTCCTGTTTTTTTAAAGAAAAAAAAAATATTCATCTTCTCTTTTTGGTTTTATCTCATTGACCCTGTGGGTTACTGGGTAATCCTTCACCAGATCTCAGGGGCTTACTGAAGACTTGGAGCTTGAGGTACCCTCTTCATTTTATCATCTAATTTGAAGTTTTAACCGCCCATTTAGTGAAAGCTCCTGGGTTTTGGTGACCCAGTTCCAAAATGATAACTTTCTTGATGGGGCTTCTTGATTTTTACTCATTAGAGTCGGAGTGAGCAGCAAAATTTGATCTTAAGTTGAAGGAGATTGTTGGAATAATGATAAGCTCAGTACCTGGGTCAATTTCATTTGTTGTTATTTCAGTGGGGAGTATAGTTTCATGTATTATGATTGCATCTCTGTTTATTAACTACAATCCTACTGGTTTTAATTTCAACTCCATAGTTTCTGAACAAGGGCAAGCCACTGTTCAGCATGATCTGTTCAGTCTTGTTGCCGGAGCTCCGGCATTTGCGCCGGCATGTGCGCCGGCATTTGCTCCGGCATTATCTTTTGATGACCTGCAAGAAGTAGAGAGTGCTAATAGTTCTGTTCCCATGGATGGTTATTATGATAGTAAGGAAACTGATGTTTTAGTTCCGTCTGTTTCGGTTGATAATTCTGGGCAAAATAGTTCAAGGGTCGATGGCGGCGCTCTCTCTTCTCCTCCATCGAAAGGTTATGGGAAGTCGAAGTCGAAGTCGAGTAAGTATTCTTTCTTTTCCTTCCATTGAAAGATTATTTATGAGAAGTCTAGATTACATAAACTCCTGAATAGCATTTTATATAAGAAGCTAATAATAGCCTGGTATACCTCACTCCTCATGTCGAAAGGTATCCTTAAGTTTAGTTATTTTTCATCTTTTGCGCTTGTTTTTCCATTATATTATGTTTCGTGTATAAATAAAAAATGAGTATTAGGCATCTTTAATGAGTATGAGACGAGTAGTGAGGCGAGTCAGGAACCTGTCCGAGAAGTGCCCTGAGAAGTCTCCAAAAGTCTAGAAAATAATCGTGGACCGTTTTAATTTCTGTGTTTGCTTTATAATTAGATTCCTTGCAACCAACATTGAACATTTCCAGTTTTTCACCTTGGAAGAAGCATGAATGCACAAATATACCTGCACATAAAGAATAGCTGTTGCAGCGGGGTTTTCCCTGCAGCACGAGTTTCATTCGTCACAAGATCTCGATCAATTGATAAGTTGCTCAGAAAGAAACAAACCAGTAAACTTTTGCTCAGAAAGAAACGAACCAAGCCGATTAAAACTATGATTTGTCTATGTCGAAAGAGGAGACACTAATTGCGGGTAAATTTTTGTTCAGATGTCCACAAAATTATTCCACTCCCTTCCATTGTAGCCACTTGAGGGGGTTTATTTCCTTTGTGGATTATATGGATACACAATAGAAAGCACTTGCCAGTCAAATGTAGGAAAGCCCCACCATATAGCCAGCGTTAAGACTGGTAGTTTGAAATTCATGCTTGTCGGAAACAACCAGCATATGAACATATCAACAGGCAGCATTTGAGATTTGCTGTCTGTGGGTGTTTTCGTTGAGTTCGGCATTGTAGACAGAAACCCTATGATATAAATATGCATCTCAGCGGGCTATTAATTTGATGAATTGAGTTCAATATTTACTTGATTGGGCTGTTACTGATGATTTTTTTTAATATAAAGTGACATGAAGTATTAGAATCAAAGCGGACACCAATATCATTTGTACGTGATGATTTGATATATCTTGCATCTTAAACAAGGCTTCAGAATCAAATTAATCTAAAAAGTTTAATTGTCAAATATTGATCCAAAATTTCTACTTGACCCCATTTTCCTTGGTAATTGTTTCTAGTATGGTTCTATACTCACATACGAATCCCCAACAAAAAATGTTTCACTACGACAAGAAGGACAACAAAGCGATTAACCTAAAGTGTCGGTTACATGAATCTTATTCTTCCATTCATTTTTGTTTAGCTTTCTAAACAATAACTGCTAAATAGAACACTTTATCCGTTCTTGATAAAAAGTACTGATAAATTACATACTAATCCCTAAAACTCCATTGTTACTTCTCAGAAGTTTGTGATCTCTACACTGGGAAATGGGTTTACGATCCAGCTGGACCTCTTTACACTAGCCACACATGCCCAATTATAGTACAGTCACAAAATTGCCAGGGCAATGGCAGACCTGATAAAGACTACGAAAACTGGAGATGGAGACCGAACCAATGTGAGATCCCTCGTTTTGATGGCAGGAAGTTCTTGGAGCTGATGAGGGGCAAGACTCTGGCTTTTGTTGGGGATTCACTCGCTCGCAATCAGATGGATTCTCTTCTTTGCATTCTTTGGCAGGCAAGCGCTTTTATTTGTTGGCATATGTTTAAGGACCAATTGCAGTAACATTTTTTTTGACGAAAACCAATTACAGTAACATTATACTATAAGGGATTAGCCACTTATTATCTCAATGTTTTTATTAGTATTCGGATTCGTTGATGTCCCAACAGAGTTAAATCTCTCTCAGTTATATGTACTGCACTAGAGGGGATCTATGTAATGGCTCTCTACAACGCTTTGAAGTCACCTGACACCAAATTGCTAATAAAAATATTTAGGGATAATAAGCGGCTAGGCCTCCATGGTTTAGGGGTGTGTTTGCAATTTAACCCTATATTTTCACATACGACTATTAATATCTCGAAGAGATTTATACATGGTCGTCGAGGGCATCATTGAGCCATGAGCCTTGTAAACTAGGATGTGGATGATTTAAGATACCTACATGAATTGGAAAATTGTCAATATCGAAATCCATTCAGCAATATGCCAAATTTGTCCATAAAAACATTTCTTCTGCATATGATGAATTCTGAATAATTCAGCTAAGAGTCCGTACAGACAGAAATAACAAATATCACAACTTCATTACTTTTTAAGTTTTGATTTTTCTCTCAGAATAGTTTGTCCTCCAGTATCTCATATTTTACACTTGACTTCTCTCCTTTGACAGACAGAAGTTCCCATCAACCGTGGTAACCATCAGATGGACAAATGGTACTTTCAGTCCACCTCCACCACAATAGCTCGTGTGTGGTCAGCATGGCTCGTTCATAATACTCCCATCTCCTCCTCATCCTCATCATCAAGAGCCGTCAATGTCCATATCGACACTCCTGACAGCACCATCACAAACTTCCTCCATAGTTTCGACGTCCTTCTTCTCTCCTCTGGACACTGGTTCAGCGCAGAATCAAGCTATCTCCTGAACAACACAATTGTTGGCGGACGATTTAGTCATGCCAACAAAGCCAAAAAGAGAAAAGACATTATTAAGTTCTACGGGATGACTATACGAACAGCTATAACTACAATTGCAGATTTTAATTATACAGGGTTGACGATATTACGCTCTTATTCACCCGAGCATTATGAAGGCGGAGATTGGGATACCGGAGGTTCGTGTAAAAAGGTTAATAAGCCTGCGAGAAAATCAGTGAGGAGCGGGTACGTGAATGAAATGTATAAGCAACAAGTAGAGAACTTCGAGAGCGTGGTGAGAAAAGTGAAGAATGGTGCCAAGTTGAGATTTATGGACATTACAGATATGTCTGGATACAGAAATGATGGGCATGCAGGAATTTACAGTGGGAAAAAGGCGAGGAAGAAAAAAGCAGCAGAGGATTGTGTGCATTGGTGCATGCCTGGGATCGCGGATTCATGGAATGAGGTTTTGTTTGAGATCTTGAAGAGAGAACTCTGAAGGAGGGTTTGACAAGTAATGTGTATGTATTCCGAGCAGCGGTTTTGCTTATTTGTTGCGGTCTCACATTCTTTTTACTTTAAATTCTTTGTTGTAAGATTTTAGATTTGAGTAACCATCTTAGCTGTCCAAATGTTGAAGTGATAATGAGATCACAATAGTTATCATCGTTCTTCCACACTTTGCTGTGTGTACAGTCTATATGAATATTCTGCTATGTACACCATTAACAACCATATAGTTATATGAACAGTGTCATCGCGTAAATGTCTATTTCTGAAGACAGAATAGATAAGTAGTATCAAAAGGAAGCTTTGGACTTATGTTTTTTGACAGGCAATTTCCAGTAAATGAGAGCAAAGTAAATTTACAACAAGATCATTACTACAACATCAACAATCAAGAGGTTTAAGGAATACGACATACACGTATGACAACAATGGGTACAAAGATGGATTGGTTTCATGAACCAGTTACAATGCAACAGTTCTATCTATCTGATGAGAGATCTGCAGAATCTTTTTTTTTTTCAACAAAAATGATGTCAAGCTTTGTATTCACACTAGATCAAACCAGTGAATTGTTTGTAGCCATCAGCTAATCTTCAAGCTCTCCAAATTCATCTGCAGTTTTCAAATGGCACACACTGTGTTAGTTAGCCTGTTTAAAACAAAAAAGGTAGGAGGAAGACTGCAGCTAACATTGATAAATAGCAAACACCGATCTTAGCAATATTGAGAAAGAAGATGTGAATGCAGGGAGATCAAACTCCTTTCCTAATCGTCGCGTTCAGTGATTTACCCAAACCCCCTCACCACTCTTCTGTTGTATTCGTTAGTTGATTTACCCCAACACTCTACGAAAACATTTATTTGGTTTCCTCCCTCCGTCAAAGATGAGATCAAACTTACAATATCTCATTGGTTGAGAGGACCAGCTTTTTGGGATTTCTGGGAAGGCACCTACATATGCAAACTTGCAGGGAGCTTCCTCCCGTTGCCTTACCCTGAAACTACCTCGTTGCTTTCGAAACTATATATCCTGAAGGCAAGCATAATTTATCATAAAGTGTCACATTTGGAGTGCCATCATTGAATCCAATTTTTGATTTTTGAAAAAGGCTAATCAAGAACCTTAAAATCTATGACTCAGTTCGTGATCCTATCTAATCTGAACCTCATAATGGTATAATTTCCAGTTTGGTCTCCAGTAAATAGACCAAAAAAAAGGGAAGAAGACAATACAAAGCTCAATGGCCAGTCCTTAACTAAAATTAACTTTGTAACTTTTACCAGCATGAGGAGTAGACATATCCCAGGGCTAATTTTGGGTCATTCAGTCATCAGTTCTTTAATCCTACGACCTTTGGGTCTTTCGCTTTTTCAGCCATGAAGGATAGATTTCTTGAAAACCTTCTATAATTGTTGTAAACACATGCTTTCGCTTTTTCAGTCATGAAGGCTAGAGTTTTCGAAAACCTTCTGTAATTGTTGTAAACATGCAGAAATGGTGAACGATTAGAGTTCAGCTCACTTTCTCCAATCATCCAGTCAGGTGAATGTTCTTAGAAAATACACATGGAATTTCGAAGCCCACTTTAACCTCTATAAGAGCTATCCCAAACATACAAAGAGTGAATACTAATAATAGTTGTATGTGTTCATAGAAAATACATGAAATTTTTAAGCCCACTTTAACTTCTACAATCACACGAACGCCTTCGATGTGATTCAAGGCTAAAGCAATAGAATGAAGTTTGAAAATGAGATAAACCCAGCACTTTGTTGATGTATAACCTGAGACTCCCCTCTCGAATTAAAGACCTGGTTACTACATAAACCATCCTAACCAAGGTCCGAAGAAAACAAATGCATCCAACTAGTGAGCACCACAATACACGACATCACAAGCAATATTACCAGCTTAAGTATATGTTAAAATAGATGAAAAACATCAGCATTCTTTTGACAAGTATACGACAGGCTGTATGGTTGCAAGTTTATAGTGGCAGGTCTCCCTAACTCAATAAACAAGTATATTTAATGAATATTCTGTAACCCATTTCAGGGGGGAAATAGTAAGCTATAAAACACGATACTCGAAACTGAACCTCATGTCCTCTCTTTTCCATTAAGTATAGAGTTTATGAATTTCAGTAACACGAATGGGTGGCCCAGATAGCTATTTAGGCACAGCAAAGAAGTTGTGTCCAGAAGGCAAAACTCAAATAAGTGAATAGTATAGAAGATGTGCTTTTTAACTTCCTCATTTGTTTGAAAGTTACAGATGATTCCAGTATTCCCAATGAAAAAATTCGATGAAACAAAATGATCAAACAAAATGTGCCAAAAAACACCATAAGCGCAAAACAATAGTAGAAAATAGTCCCCCTTCACGATCCTTTCTGGCCAAGTCCCACCAACTGAATCATCACTCCAACCCGAAAACGAAGATGCCAGTACAAACCAACATGTATTCCCATGTGGTTGCAACATATATTTGAGTACATTGGTTCATGTTTGATTCATATCCAACTCTATACAAAGCATTCACAGGAGCGGCTACTTAAACAATGATGGACAATCATATTGACCCAGGACTAAAAATTGTCATACTCAATCAAGTACATACATGTAATTTTATTCTAATAAAAATATGCAAAATGTGATCATTTTGAGAAACCGCAAAACATCATGCAGAACATTAAAAATGGGGCACACCGCACGACACACTAGAAAAACCTACACGTGGATCCTGTTCTTTACCTGCATGATTTGTATTCGTAAAAAGTCCATGAACAGTGCTATATAAGCAATGACCAGGATCACGGCTTTTCCTAAAGAAAATAAGGTTAGTATGTGTATAACCAGGTATACAGATAGACATACAGGATGTAAGCACATACTAACAGGAATCATCCTAGGGAAGTCATGGATGAAGACTATCTTAAGTTTCTCTCTCACCCTCACCATTGCACTCAGCTAAGTTGCATGGAAACGTGCACGGGTACTGGTACGGGTGCGGGTACAGGTACAGGTAGGGGACACGACAAAATTGTAAAATGTAGGGTACGGGGACACGGCTATATATATATATATAGAATTAATAATATACATGAGATAAAATTTCCCCGCTTCATGTGTCATTAGAATTAAAATTCTGATTATATTTTTGAGTTTCTTTTATCATATTGATTATTATAAATTGTAAATTACTAGACATCTAAACGACCCATTAACTATATAGTTTTGAACTTGGGTATGGACTGAAACGAACCCGACCCGTATCTCATTAGTTTCAAAAGACAGATGTGAAGTGTAAGCTCGACGGATGTGAAGTGTAAGCTCTACGTCCAGGAAGTCTTTGACAAGTGTTTTAAATTAACACATATATCGTATAATTGAGTACATGTTGTAATAATGCATGCATATATTCAAGAAGTGTCCATGAAGTTTGGGTACGGGAAACTGTCGGGTACGTGTCTGGTACGGGTACGGCTTCATTATAGAAGTACCCGGGTAACATAGGCACTCAGCCATCCACACTTAACGCACATGCATGATGGATGCTTGACTAAGACTTACCAACTCAGAAGCAACCCAAGTGAACACACACAACAAATATTATCAAGAAGCAAAACAACTGATAAATATAGCGAACATTGGAGAGGAAAATAAAGTAAAATAAAACCTGCTTGACTGGAAATAGACATCCCTGCTTGACTGGAACCAGACATCCTTAACTATCATTTTCTTGAGGAGTGACTTGTTCCATGCTCTTTTTTTCCCTACTAGTTTCTAATTTAAATATATGTAACATACATGTATGAACGGCCACCGTTCCCGTTAAGAAAGGTGTGAATTTGCAGTTACCTACTCTAGTGTCCATTATGCGACATTCTAAAGGATATCATCAACTACCAAGGCCAAACAACCACAATGTCTCTGCGGTCTTCCCAAGCAATTCGGTGCTTCTATTTCTGACCATAAATAAGATGCACTTAAACAAATTCCATCTACCATAATGTTTTTGTCAGCCTCCAGTGTCATTTCTCCTAAATGTTATGGAGGAGTTAACTCACCATGTTAAACTGAGAAGATGATTGTAGGCTCATAGCTAGACATCAAGCAATGTAATGTGAGAAAAGAAGCCCACATTGGGAATATTTGCATGTCTCCTAAGACCTGACCGTTCCCCCATGTTAATATAAAACTATGACCCTCAATCCTTACCAAAACTTCGGAGTTTTGGTGTAGTGGTGACAGAGACCTTAAGATGATGCCAAAGCAACCTAGGCTCCAATCCCATTGGACAAGAACTTAAAGCGGATTTTTAAAAAAAAATTGATTTAAAATAAATGTTACTAAAAAAGAATATTCTCGTATGCATGGATCCAAGTTTCAGCCCATAACAAAGACGCTCAACCTGCGAAGGCTTGTTAGAATAATATAAAACTACACTCATAACTTGCCCACAACTTCGGAGTTTCATGTAGTGGCACTGTGGCAGGGACTTTAAGACCTGACACCAGGTTACTTTTCTGATTGCCCACCAACATCATGAGGGAACAAGATATATACCATCAAGGTTATTCTTAGGGCAGGTATGGACTGTGTGTGATGACATAAGATCAGAGACATACGTGATTATAACCAGGGATACACAACAAAAGTTCCTTATAGAATCTTTAGCTAAACTTCCTCCTCTTAGCTTCTCCATGGATCATCAGCGCACAAATTAGTATTCTACATTGATGAATGCTTCATATTTGACCAAAATCCTAGAAAACATATGAAGCAGCACAAACCCAATCCATACCGAGAACCTGAGCCTTGTACCAAATCAACCGATTCTTCATTCTTCAAAGCTCAAAGCTAAGCTACAAGAAGCTGATTATATACAAATCATGGATTTAAACCCTAAAATTTAAGGTACAAGGATTCAACTTTCCAAAACAACTCCACATTTTGCAACCTAAATCGTTCCAATCCCACAGAAAATTCAAGAATCTGGTAGAGGATCATACCAACCAACTCAATCAATGAGAACAGCATCCGCTGGGCCCCGCCGCGTTCTCATTGCGGCCCGATCCGCGGCCGCAGCCCTCGTCGTCGCGTCCCCTCCTTCCACGTCACCTTCTTCTTGGCCCTCTTGAGGCGGAGAACTAGGGTTTGCTGTTGGGGCTGATTGCCCGAGGAGGAGGATGATGAAGATGGATCTTCGGGATTTAGGGTTAGGGTTAGGGTTTCGGTTGCAGATCTCGCCATCGTTTCTCTCTCTCTCTCTCTCTCGAAAAGGGGGGATTTTTGCGGGAGAAAAGCGCCGGTTTGTTGAGGAACGAAAGGCAAAGGGATTTTAGGGGGTCGGACTTGAAATGTTTTGGGACCAGAACTCGACCCGAATTTGCGACCTGATGTCTTATGGGCATTTTTCCATATTAATCCCTTTGAATCTGTAATATTATCAATTTAAAGTCGCTCACAGTCTATAATCAAGAGCACCAATAAATGTGGAGACAATAATTTGAGAATAATCGCAATTTCGGTGGTTTGATCAACCAATTTAAAAATATTAAAGGTTTAATGTATAATATAAAATAAACTATATTAGTCATTGCTTGTACATAGATTGATATTAATGTTTTATGGAACAAATTTATCAATCCATTTAGAAAACTATTTTCTAATAGGATCTGCTCTTAGGAACATCGCTTGCAAATATGAAATAAAATTAACTTGTAGTTTAGAAGAAAAAAAAAGGCCAAATCAGGTTATAAGTAGACTACTTATTTAGTCTGGACATTTCTTTGGTACTGATTTGTGCACAGTTCTCCTACACACATATAACATGAGTTTATTTATATCATTTACGGATCGTTAGGATGTCAGTTTGGAGTGTAATGCACTCTACTCGTACTAGACTAGTTGTGATAAGATTCCTACTCGACAGGTCTGCAAAAAATAAATAAATAAATAGACCATTTAATAAAACCCAAATTAGAAAATAAATAAACGACCGGATCCATTAGTTAATCCAGACATTCATTGAGGACTGATCTAGAAAAAAACCACTCGCTAACGCCGGTCTATCCCTCAACTTCCCCGCTACTAATGAAATCCAAACCCCCCGCACGTGAGTCCCTGTTTCTAAACCGTTGGATCGACAAATCTCGCGCAAATCCAGCCGTCGAAAAATCCCTTTTCTTCCTTCCCAATTCTCCCAAAAACCCTAAACCCTCGTTCATCTCGGCGCGCCGCCCAAACCAAGAGCACTGCTCTCCCCCTAAACTCTCTAGGGGTTTCAATTTTCTAGGGTTTCGGAGGAAAAGGAATGAACTTCAAGAACGTGAAGGCTCCGAAGGTCCCCGGCGGCGCCGGAGCTGCGGCGGGGAATCTGATCAAGGTCGCTTTGATCGGAGGAGGCGCCGTTTACGCTGCTGTCAACAGTCTTTATAATGTCGATGGTGGTCATCGAGCCATTGTTTTCAATCGACTCGAGGGGATTAAGGACAAGGTATTTTTTTAAAACTTTGAATCTTTTGATTATTCTTCATTTGGTTATTGGTAAATAATAATAAAAAAAGGAAAAAAAGAAAAGCTCCCTAAGGTTTTTAAAGTGATACATTCGCGCTCTCATTAATTCAATTTCTTAGTCAAATAATAGATGTTGGGATAAATATTGGCGTATAAATGCAAGTTAAATCTGTAGAAATTGAAGGGGGGAACGATGTGTAATTTTTTAAAAACCTTAGGAAGATTTCCTACCACGCAAAATATTTGTTTTATGGATAATTTACAGAATAATCCCCTTAAGTTTTGCTTGATAGACAAAATCCCGTGCCTCCAAGGTTACAAAATTGACACTTCATCCTCTTACATCTTCTACTTTTAGTCAAAGATAAAATTTTGGGGGCGATCGTCGGTTTTCAATATAATAATCATATATAAGTTTATATGAGAGTGCATATAATGGTCATATTATACGATATTAGCTTTTACATCTTACCTAATTTTGTAGAAATTAGAAGAGAGGGAATAAAGTGCACCTTTAAAGCCATAAAGAGATATCTGGGTCTATCATGCGTATCAAGGATTGATTTGTATTATTTGGTCTATATATGGTACTGTTATTGCTGTTGAATGCGTAGTATTCTTCTTGCTTCAGAGGGTATTTTTTTCATCGGAAAATATCTATTTGGGCAGCGATTTAGTAATTTGGATGCCTATAATACATGTTGCATTAATTTTCAGTAGAATGCTGAAATTAGATCCAAAAAAGATCTTTGTTACTGAATCCAAATCATATATACCTTGATTGAAACAGGTCAAAAGTCTCCGATTTATTGTGGATATTGTTTTCTCCATTCCTCATGCATATTCATTGTCTTTTTTCATGTACTTTTACTGTAACTTGCACTGTGGCATGAGTAACATGGAGATTAATAGAACGTTAATGAATGGCTACTGGAAATATAGTTTAGATTGCTTTTCTCTCACATTTTCTAGTAACTTCTATGAACTAGTTTGAATATTTGATCCATCTATCTGTAATAGACAAACACATCTTTTTTGTATATTTTTCTAAAGGAAACAATGGAAATCCTTTTGCAGGTTTATCCAGAAGGAACCCATTTGATAATCCCTTGGTTTGAGAGGCCTATTATCTATGACGTTCGTGCACGACCCCATCTTGTGGAGAGTACATCAGGAAGCCGTGACCTGCAAATGGTACCTTTTATATAACTTTCAGTTGTCTCAACCTTTATACCTTTTCTTGTCCATTACTAATATGCAGGAGGGATGAACTGTCAGATTAATAGTAGAACTATTGAAGAAACCTACATTACACGACAACCATATTTTTCAATTGTCTCAACCTTTATACCTTTTGTTGTCCGTTACTAATATGCAGGAGGGATGTACTGTCAGATTAATAGTAGAACTATTGAAGAAACCTACATTACACGACAACCATATTATCTATGCCCTACTGTCCAAATTTCTTGCAATTGAAAATAAATGGAATAAATGTGGGGCATTACTATTTTTATATGCAATTAATCACAATTATCTACTTTTGCTCAAGCTCAATGTATTAATTTTTTTTATTTTAGAATTTAGTAGGGTGTTAAGTGAGCAAACATCACAACATTATGTCCCCTAAATTATGGAATGTCTTGCCTATTAGCATTGTATCAGGCCTCATTTCTTTCCTTTCAGAAAGAAATATCAATAGAAAAGTTAAGAAATAATACTAGCATTAAAAAATTTTTGATTTAAAATAGGGCACGGTGAAGATTAAGAAAAAAGATATATTAATTTATGGAAAAAAACCTTTTGAAGACTTTCAGGACCTTTGCCAATCAATGCGTCATAGGTATGATGAAGGAGAGGTGTTGGAGAAGGAAGAAATAAATGAATTTGCTTAAGTGAAATGCAAAGTGGGTTTTGAATTGACGCAACGTTCTCCTAAAGTACAAGACCAGGCTTTGTCTATTTCATAAATTTGCTCAAAAGCGGGTCAAAGAGAGATCCAAGCCCCGTGAAGAATGCTGAATTTGGGTTTTATGGTGGAAAGAAAAGTGTCCTTTGAGCCGATACTTAGTTTGATGGATCTTCTAAATGGTGATTCTT